TAGTCAGTCACAGGTTTAGGTCGATGGGTACCGCTTATACTGACTCAAATGTGTTCAGTCTATTCGGCTCCAAGTGGGTGAATATCAGCTGCAATTGATCCTTCACGTCGTCCAGGAATTGCTGATGTGCCGTCGCCTCATCCGATGCTCCCAGTGGGGCCGGGGACTCCGGCAGCCCCGTCGCACGAAAGATGTTGTAGTATGCACATCGATTAAACCGAACAAGATGGAAAGGAGCCCTGAACTGTAGGTGCCGCGTGTGCTGGAGATAGTCCGCGGCTCGTGAAGGACCGAGATGGCGAAAGAAGGGGTCGACATCCAACACATTCAGTGCCCATTCACTTGCTGCACAGAATGACACTGTACGGTATATTCGAGGAATCAGCACTGCATACAATCTGGACGAGGCGCGGCTGAGAACGCGCAGAGTGGTAGCTGGCAGCTGACGGGGGGTCAGTACCTGGACCAAACAAAACAAACACGCTGAAGCTTACCCAATCTGCGATCAGCATCAGAATCTCACTCGGCAAGGTCTCTAGCATTGTCCCCTGTGCTCACTTCACTCACCCGCTCTGGACAGCAAGAGGCTTATAAGCACGCATCTATCTGAGCGCCCAGTCAAGTTGCCCAGACATTGCGCAGAGGAAAATGTCTAATATCCGTGGGTCATGCATCGCGTTGGCAAGCTATTTCATCCGGTCACTGATAAACAGGCTCAGTGCCGTTCTTTGCAACCGCTCTTCACCCGCAGGCCGCCAGGTCTTGTGAAGCGCGTTGTCAAGCTCAATGGTCGTTCGGCATGAGCGACAAGCAACCAACTGACCACAGCGGTGGCCATGGTATCTTCGCCGAAATTGGCAACCAGAATATTGAAGAAAAGACCGAGGAGTCGCTGTTCGAGAGAAAATAATAAGAACGTTTAAAGGGCCAGAACAGGGCATGTCGGTGCACGGTTCACGTGGGGCCACGCATCAGGTGGTGGTGAAACGGTCAGTCACGGTCGAAACGGTCATATTGCGGTCGCCCTGTAAAACACAACCGATTGCACAAGTTTGCACAACGGCCAAATCCTACAAAATAGGTGACAGTAGTAGGTCAAGCGAGACTTGCGTTGACCCGGTGTAAACATCCAACATTTCCACATCAATGGGCATTAGGCCGTTTGCTTGGAGAGAAAATAGAAGTGGAAATCTGATCTCTTGCGTTTAGGGTGTAATCTTGGTGTCGAGTTTTCACTGAGATTGCACAAGTGTGCCACCAGGACTAAGGCACCGGGTGATAAGGTTTATCTATAGTGGTCGATTGACCTGGCAAACACCACTCATGTCTACTGTCGTGCAAGAGGAATTGATTATCATCACATACAGGGTGAATGGAGATATGGTCTGCGAGACCCACATGGTATGTACGGGTTCCACTGAACGCGAAAAGCGACAAGCTTCCTCGCGTTACGTCTTGTACAGTATCCAGTGTCGACTATAGTTGTTCTTAATATTGATTGCTTATCTCGAGATGCTACATATCTCTATGTATACGTGAGCTCATCACACAAACAATCAATTAGTCTGGGAGGCAGTTTGGGAGGTTTGCTTTTACGATGCGGGGGTTATGTCTCAGATATATATACAGACTGTCAGCATTCCGAAGTACACAAGATCTTGGCTATCGCGATGAATTGTAATCAGACGAAGAACATTGAATCGTCCAGATTTGAACACCAGGGATGTAGCCTTTTTGATCGACATGGAAGGAATCCAGGCAAGGGCCCGATATGAGAGGTAAGTGATTATCAAATGTTCTGCTCACGCCTACTTTGTAGTCTGCCACACCTTCTCCAGAACCCAATGAAGCTTAAGCTGCGTTTTGAGCCACCGCATGCAAGACAGCCCTTGAATAAGTGACGGCGTTGGAGGCCAGGACTAAATGCATCACATAGAGACTGGGCCGCCAGCCATTCACCACGCCAATCCTTTCCAACGGACGAAACAGATAGAATGTAGCGCCAAGAGAATTCCAGATGGCCATTCGGCCGTGATGTATCGCCAATGAGGGCGCACTCTGGGATTTCCCAGTGAGGGCATAAATGGTTGGTACGAGCGAAAGTAAGCCCAGTGAAACGCAGCTGTACGAAAACCGGTACCGCACTGCACAGCAACTGGGATCGCAGATTGCAAAGTCCACCAGAATCCCGACAGCAACGACGGTGAAGGCAGATATGTATCCGAGCTGGAGGTAGGGTTCGGTGTGGAATAACACAACCGCCGGAGGAAGGGTGGTCGCCCAAATGAGGACTAAAGTGGCTCCAAACTCTAGCTTTTGCCACTCTGCCGCATCATTGCCCCGGAAAGCATCTAGAAAGCGGTAGAAGAGGCTGGACGTGCACCAGAAGATGACACCTGCGCAAAAAAATAGCACGGACAGGGAGTCTAAAATTCCTCTGGGGGACGAGGGGAAATAGAAGAGCAGAAAATGGACCACAAAAAGGTAAAAGTAAAGCAATCCAAAGACATTGATTATGGTGAGGATTGTAGAATTACGATTTGCTGGCCCGCCGCCTGTTTCGGCGCCCCCCTACTTCGGGTTTAGCGCCTGTGGGACCGACGCCGGATTGGGGATCGCGCCCGTCCACTTCGGGTTTAGCCCATCCGCAACGGGTTTGGCGCCTTACGCTAGCCCCGATCGGGATCTGCCGTCTCGCACCGCCCGTCTCAGACGTCCGCCATCTATATAACCCGCGGTGCGTCGCTCGACGATAATTCTCTTCTTTCCCACACCCTTTCCCCCTTCTCCTTCCATTTTATTTCACCGGCGCCATTCCCTAGTCGGCTGACGTGGCCCCTGTCAGCTGAAAACTCTACGCCCCGAGCACAGCCTGCTTCCCCACTCACGAAATTCGAACGGGTCGCTCTGGCCATGCGAGTCACCCGGATCGCCCTTGATTTCCCGGTTCTACGTGGCTCAATGCATTATTGGTTTCATAATGTACGCTACACAGGGTCGCTTTTTCAACCGTTGTAGACATCACCCTCGGTCTGCTTGATAACTGGCCGCTCTTTGTCTCAGGCTTCGGTTTGCGAATGCCACGCAGCACACCGCAGAACGACCACCTCTGCTCTTTCAGACAACGCCTGATTGCATAGCCGGAGAGTCGCTCGCTGGACCCGCTTCCGCTCTCTATTAAACCGCAAAAATGCCTCAAGGAGCTCTGACGCTGAGCTGAGACATCGCAAACATCCACGAAATTGATGGCTTGCATGATCGGCTTGCGTGATCGGCGAATTGAAGGCTGCCGCTCAGATTGAGGGATTTTTTCTTGTCAATATCTTCCCAATCCATCAATTGTCAGCTGAGGTGTCCTGGAGGCTGCAACATTACACGGTGGCTACTACGAACCTAAGGCGCCTTTTGACGAGGCCGATTGGCTAGATTAGTCCGGAGTACTCTCAAGTGGTCGCCCGACGCAAGCAGCGAATAGTATCAAAGAGGCAGTGCTGTCGCAGTTCTCGGTTGTGTGGAGTCCGCAAGGCGATATACTGCATGATTCCTCAGCTAGTAATTCCCTGGCGAAAAAAGGACGACTGACCTCCTTTTCCCATTCTTTGGATATGATTCAGAACGGACGTAGACACCAGCCCAGTGACCGCTGCACTCTTATTCAAGCTTGCTTCATTATCTGTTGGTCCCTACCTCCGCTGTATCTCCGCTACGTCTATCACTTCCTGGGAAATGAGGGTGGATCTTGATCAAATTGAATTCTACTATGGCCCAAGTCGCCCACCGCTTTCTACGCTTTCTACCAGTGCAAAAAGCGTGCCCCCCAACCACGCCCCAGCTCACGTGCCACGATACCTCCAGCAGTCTTTTCCCACTAGGTTCGGCTTCTGTCCAGGACCGTGTGAGGTACCCCTAGGACAGTCACCGCCACTAACCGGTACAACTCATGAGTGGAACATATTTGACTTCGAGATCAATCATGTCTATGGACCCACTCAGACTGAAATGACGAAAGATGTCGGACCCTCAGTGACAACAGATATACCAGCTGCCTGTGACATTCTGTTGGATCGTGGAAGTTCCGCGCTGGCTTTCTCAGAGCCAGTGCCATCGACACACTCCGCGAGAACAATCCCGTGTCCTACAGGGCCAAATCACCTAGACCCTATTCCTCCTGATATGCGAGGAGATAATCTACCGGGTAAGCTGACACAACACATCGAAATTCGGTCATCATGCTCTCATTGTCTGACTTTTTTTATTTATTATAGACACTGTTCCTGATACCCAAGAAATGGAGACTTCTCAACTATTGTGCACACCCTGTGTGACCACACCCTTGTCCGCACCAGAACCTGCACCCGAACAAGCGAACTGTGTCTCTAGCAACCTGTCTGTGGTGGGTGAGTTTCAGCAAGAATTAGCCAAGCGGAAGTTATCTACCATGGAGCCCTCAGACAGTTCAGACAGTGGGGACTACGAAGGTGATTCAGAGCCGAGTCAGACATCTAACCTAGGTGAAAATCCATGCTCAAGGGCAAACAAGGCTTCTGAGCGGGCTGAAGATCCCAGCACTATTGAAGACACGCCAGCCACATCTAGGCCGTCCTCTCCGCCGACGGCTCGCTCTAAATTAAAATGTTCTCGAGCTCGAACGACACTAAGTTCCAAACCCCCGGTGCGCTACCCGTCGATAGCTGTGGTTATACCGTCAACGTCCTGGAAACAAGGACCCGCCAGGACAAGCACAAGGGCCGCTGCGGCAGTATGCAAGAAGCGACTCCGCTCAGGTCGAGGCACCGGCGACCACCAAGACGAGAACACCCCCAATGACACGGAACAGCCGTGTCAAAAGAGGAAGAAAAGGAGACCTTCAATTAGGCCACTTTCCGACCCTTTGAAATCTTCCGTTCCTATTTCATCTCATCGCTCTGGTGCTATCCAGCGTTTGCATGGGAGTGCTATCCTCACGGTCGAGTCTAATACTGGTCTGAAACCGGCATATTTCTTTACTTTCGTACCCGACCCTAGCCCGATGCTGCCTCCAGTCCACACGGAGGTTATCCCCCCATTGAAACACACGTACACGTCGGACGAGAATGCGCTGCTCGTGCGGCTGAAGGAAAAAGAGGCAATGTCATGGTCTGAGATTACGACTCACTTCCCAGGTCGAAACATGTCATCCCTTCAAGTTCACTATTCAACCAAATTACGCCACAAGGCCGGCTCTCGGTCTGGAAGACCGAAGAAACGCCAATGAGAGAGGCTATGCTGTCGGGATATTTCTTGGGTCGCGCCTGTCGACCTTGCGCTGTATACAACATCCTCCGTAGCCATCTGTTTCAAACTTAAGTACGGACGCTCGAGGCTCATTTTTGTACCCGGCGATGTACACTAACTTGTTTTGTATAGGGCGTTTAGATGAACATTCCCGAAACGCCATCATGGGCCACCGAAGAAGCGGTACATTCGCCTACTACGTCTCTGTCAGGGATGATACTTAGTCTGCATTCATGGAAACACCAGCCAGAGATGCTTTACTTAAGCTTGCTTGCAATTCTAGCCTTACGCGTGATGCTTCTGCGCCGCAGCATCTTCCAGAACAAGAAAAGGAGTGCATTGAAATGAACCCGGAGCTCAATAAGCTAAAAATAGAGTGCAATACCTTTCGCCATGAGCTTATCGCAGAATATCATCAATCAACGAAAGCACGGAAGGCTGATCCTACACCTTATGATCAATATCGAAGGCTGCAAGATCAAGTCAGGGCTAAGCGAAAAAAACTCCACATGGATGCCAAAGACAAGATGTACGACAATTTCTTCGAACACGTTGGAAATCGTATTATCGATCAAAACTACCAAGGCATTCCCGTGGAATTTGAGCCAAACACATCACACATACAGCCGGAACGGAAGGTTCTCGCGGACCTTGAATTCAAAAACAGAGATGTGGATACTGTCGACGATGCGGAACTAGTGGAAGACCGCATTAGGTCACTAGAGTTGCGACTCGAGCTTCACCAGCGCAACATACCTAAGCCATTGAGGAAACGGGTCAAGTTTGAGGCCACTACCAAAAAGCCGGACCAGCCACCATTCATGATGAAAAGCTCGACTGAGTCAAATATTGTTTTTACGATGCCATCGTCTTTCCTCCCTTACTTTTTGACTGTAGGGAATCGTGCTGTACAAGATGGCAGAAGGTCATCATCTCCAATTCAGTTCGGTGCCGCCTAGATAAGACCCATGCTCGGTATTTAGGCGTTTCCTCTTCCATTTGTCTAAAGCAAATCAATTCGTGCCACACTGTTCTTCGCTTCTGTGCTTCGATATTTATTGAAGTCAATGTGAATTCTCAATGTCTTCCCGTGTATCTCCTGGGTGGAAGACGGCGACCATAATCCATTGACCAAGATCATTCAGCTCCGCAGTTCCCAGGAATTATACTTGGCAGCGCAGCATGAAGCCACTCAAATAACAACCTCTGCCACCACCAGACGGCATTCAGCCCGCCCCAGGAGACAATCAACTGCACGCTCAAATGGGAAGCCTTTTTTAGGTGGAGATTCAACCAACGGCTGACTGATAGGTTGTAGAGAAAGGTTTGGAAACGCTAGCAGCCCTGGAGACTGAAAAGGAGTGTAATGGAAATTAGAACGGCATTTGTGAATTATCAGCAATAGTACTCTATATGAATATGTTTGGGTCATACGGTATGTTTGTCTGTGTGTGATTCATTACGCTGTTCTCTCGTCGAAACGACATGCAGCCTACTTAGATATCTTCCTCATAGAAACGCAGGATACTAGACTATAGATACCTTAGATGGGTCGTCCTCAACGTCAATCTCGCAAAACCATGGATCTGATAAGATTTTCGTAGGCGAAGGTCTCTTCCCGGGGTCATATTGCAAAATCCATCGAATAAGCGCTTTCACTTTGTTAGCTTCCTCCTCATCGAGATCCGGGCCTGCCCGGTCGAAGCACTCTTCCATGGACGTCTGCTCCACTATAAGCGGTTCCTCCCCGGGAGCGACTCCTCCAAGCTGAGAATTAAAGAGCTTCCTCTCGGGCGTGAAGTAGAGCGACGAGGTTGTCCAATGCCTGAATAACTCGTCGGGGAGGGCACCGAGCTGGGCAGTGAGGGAGAGAAGATGATCGTCATCTTCCATCTCGGAACATGGTACACAGAAGAGTGGCTGTCCGGTAATTAGCTCAAAAATAAGGCAACCGAAGCTCCAGATATCAACGGTATTGTTGACAGCTCCGGTAAGAATCAACTCGGGAGCTCGAAGACCGAGTGGAGTAACGGGCTTTGTTGGTGGGTCGGTAAAGAAATAAGCTGTCCAGGGAATTGAGGTGTGAGTATTAATATTCGTCAAGAAAAAGGAAAGAGGGACTGACCACCGCCCATATCGGATAATTTGACCTTGAACCCTTCGGCGTAGCAAGTAAAGGGCACCAGTGGCTGCGCAACGCAAAGATATTGAGGCGCCCATTTATCTTGTTTACCATCCAGCCTCTGTACCGGAGGCGAGATCGACCGGGCTTGCACATCTTCCTCTTGTAGGAGCAATTCCTCAGGGGTCGAGTCGACATCGATAAGAGGGAAGAGTATGTTTCCCGGCTGGAAGTCTCCATGGGCAATACCATTTTCATGCAGAAATGCAAGAGCCTGTAAAGATTGCTTAAGGATACTCTTTGCCATCTGAAGCGGATAGCGGATCTTCATTCCTCGCCTACGAGGTTTGAACTGCGGCAGCTCCTCGACCATCGTATTGACACTCGGACCCATAGGCTCAAGTACCAGGCACTTGTGGAGGCCATTGGGCCCGCGGTGTTCGAATTCGTCCAGCAATCGCGTGATATATCGGGACCCTTCTTCTGGTGCGTATTCGACGATATGGCGTAATATTCGTAGCTCAGTTGTCGATTCCGAGATTTCCGACACAAGTATCTTCAAAGCGACATATCGACTGTTACTAAACGAAATGAGTAACGATGGTATATAGCGTCGGCAGTAGAAATGCGAAAGATGGACTTACTTTAGGTCATGGGCGAGCCAAACCGTTGAGTAGGAGCCCTCGCCAAGCTTCCGGATGACCTTGTACTGGTGGTTTAAGACGTCGCCGAGAACGACTGGATGATAACCACCTGGCCGATAATCCTCCACCCATTCACAAGGTAATGTAATGGTTTTGAATCTCTGTTCGTCATCTATCAAGGCCCTTGATGGCGGAGTGGGAGGAGACGAAGTGCTCATAACCGCGATGGAGATGCGTCGTTCAAAAGTAGCCAAGGGGAATGTTTTGTAAGGTATTAAGGATTGTGATAAGGAAGTCCAAAGCTTGGGGAGAAACTGGTTAGACGTTCTCAAAAAGCGTGGGACAAGGCTTCCGGGGTACATTTATGGTCCTATGACACGGGCGAGTAAGTCTTGGAGTTCGTTTCGGAGCACGCGTCATGGCGCGTACTATTTTTATTCATCGCGGTGCGATATGACTAAGAGCATTGAGCTGTTGTTATTGGCCTGAATGCGGCCCGGGTCAAGCCGCCAAGTAACGAATTTACAAGCTGAGCAACCGATAGCGACAGAATACGAAAAACCTAATTCCATATAGCATAGCTAGCGGGTTACAATACGCGCCCTGCCCTTGGATTGAGCCTAGGTGATTTCGATAATGTAACTACTTGACGGAGCAAGCACGTTCATTGAGTGGACAGCTAGATCGTGGCTGGCCATATCAAGTTTCAACAGGGGCCATGATTCCAGCGCTTATGCACCCCGATCACAATCACAAAGTCGGTATAGAAAATTCAGATATATGACGAGATGGCCATTGTGCAGCTGGGCTCTGATGTGCGCAAGGAATATAAATTGATGCGAGTTCACGGTCCCTAACCGCATTACTCAAACACGACCTACCTATGCCAACAGCCGTTTTTCCTCTAGACTTATTTCCCATATTGGATTCTCAAGGACAGCGCAATTCTTGGTTCATCATGAATGCCAGCAATGTTACTTTCGACCCGTCGAATATGTATTCGAACAATCCCAGTGAGAAAACGAGTGTCATCAACTTGGTCATTAGCCAAGCACCTGCCGGGGCTACGAGTGCCACTGTCGTGTAAATTGCTCGCATCTCTCATCTCAGCCTATAGCTGCTGACGAGAGTTTTTAGGAACGGCTGGCACACCAGTAGAAGCGATAGACGCCGGCACTGTACCGTCGATTACTATGACGCCGCTGGCGACCGGCTCAGCAGAGAGCACATTGTCTGATTTTGCTGGGACAGAGGAGAGTTTATGGTGTCTGCAGTTTTAAATATTTTGGGGATGTGGTCTTGGTGAATAATCGATGTCTAGACCGGCCCAGCAGGACCAGGATTCAGATACGTACGCACAGAGCTGTAACCCCCTTTTTTTTGGCTCACGGCAACATTGATAATTCAAAGCAATATTCATATGATAGTCATATCAGCTTCTGGGAAGTACCGGATTCCTATGTGCATTGGCAACAAATGAGAATTGTAGTACAAGACAAAAGAAACCACACGTAAAAAAAAGTAGGTTGCCTACCTGGATAAGTTCACTATAGCGTCACCGCAGCCTTCTAACAAATGTGAACGAGTGTGATGAAGACTGCGCGTGACAAAGAGACCAGGACATGGGAGAATGAAAGGTCAGCCCAGGATTGGTCGGTAGCCAGGAACCCCATGTACTCCGTCATCTGCGTGACGGCGAATTAGCAGTTTCGGTTTAGCGTGCCTCTTTGGCTCTAGCTCCTACCACGTGACTTACATCGCCTTGCGTGTCTCTATAAAGTCGCCTTCATCGCCCCGTGGAACTCGGCGGCTCCATCAGCTCTAACGAAGACCATATAAATCCGATACGCCTGTGCGAAGTGGGTCTGTGGATCTGCCTTAAGGCCTAGTACTAGAGTGAGAGCCTTGTGGCTGATAGTGTCTAATTAATTTTGGACCGAGGGGAATGTTGGTCCAGCTCGCCAAATACACCTTGTCCTTGACGAACCCATTAACATAGTTATCCATTGTCAGACACGCTGAGATAGAGGGATAAGACAACAGGGGGTTAATCCTTCAACACGAGCTACAAGAGGACTGTAGACGATTAGGCAGCTTTAATCTCTCGGTCAGTACGTCATGAGCGTCTTATCCACAGCCCTCAGTTACGGAAGGACTGGCAAGTAGAGCTCAAGCTCAATTGACTGGGCGCCTTGCGGCCGAACTCATCGACTTCACAATCGATTGGCACAGAGGACGAGATAGGAGGACAAGGAACAGGTTATGCGGACTGGAGTAGAGGTAGCGTGTGCCTCTATGGTCCGCTCTTCCGCGATTCGTCTTTTGTCCTGATTTATGGAACGACTGGCGAGCAGAGCTCAATCAGTCCAGTGGTGATTACATTAGGCGTAGACGATGCGCGTACTTGTAGTTCTCTAGGAATAGCAACATCACTATGGTATCATCCCTGGGTCGCGGTCGTCCTTATCTCGGAGATCTACGCAGTCCCAACCCTGTTACCGAAGGCGCTCTGTGACCGAAATCCTCGTTAGCTGCATGATTGATTGGTATAGAGAGCGAAGTGGGCCGATAAAAACTAGGGTTTACTCCTATAGTATCTGCGTCGCGCGGACTGGGGATGATGAGGGGGTCCTTAGTCTCTGCGTTGATTCGTCTTGCATGTCTCGTCTTCTGTCCTGAGCCATGGAACGACTGGCAAATAGGGCTCTGTCGAAACGGTGGCGATGTTACTGGACGCGCTCGATGAGCAGGAGTGTAGTCCTCCGTAAATAGCAATAGCGCTTTATGATATTATTGGATCAAATAGACGTTAAGCTGGTTATTTGTACGGTATTCCTATACAACGTGGATTAGACAGGGAGACGATTGGCAGACAGGTCTCGTCTGGAAGCGATCCTGCTGGGTGTTGCCGTCTGAAGTTGAGACCTGGCGGCCTTCCAAGCAAGCACAGCCCACATACTAAGCACCAGTCGGTCTGTGATGCAAGGTAGCAGGCAAAACGACCAGGTTCTATACCGCATCTCCAGAGCCCTGATTCGTTGTGTTAGAGGTGGTGAAAGAGCCATAGCCTCAATTCAAGCGTGAAATCTTAGGGTAGCGCATGACAGCGTTATATCCTAGTCTCAGCCTGTCATGGTTTGGGGTCCAATCGTGCAATACCGCTAGGAATACCGCGAACGCATCTTATCCAATGATTCTCCAGGGCTTACTCCGCCAACGTTGGCTTTTATGTATATAAAGGGTCTCCTTCCCCAGGCTGGTGATATTTTCTTATCCTTCCTATTATCCGACCAGCTTACATCGGCCTTCCTCCCCTGTCTTAAAGATCCCAAATGGCAAGCCCTTCCGATACGATTGTTATCATCGACGAGGAGGTGACTCAGAGCTTTGAGCCAGGTGGTTCACGCCCTCGAAGGGGCCCTCGCCGTGATTACAGCTACCAGGGCTTTGACAGCATGATCGTTGAAACAAATACTGATGAGGCGGATACGACACCCTCACGCAAACGCAAAAGAACCAAAACAAAGGAGCTATCATTGGTACAATTTCCCGCTGATCACAGTATATTTTTTTCCTGGACTAACAATAGCTAGGATATTAATTTCAAAGAGCTCCGAAAGGCAGTTGATCATCGAATTAAAGAGTTACAAGAGAAGAACCGAATGTTTCTAGATGAACTTCACCTCGAGAGGGAGGCGCACAAAGAGTTACAAGAGAAGAACCGAATGCTTCTAGATGAACTTCACCTCGAGAGGGAGGCGCACAACGAGACCCAAGTGAAGAACCGAATGCTTCTAGATGAACTTCACCTCGAGAGGGATGAACTTCACCTCGAGAGGGAGGCGCACAAACAGACCCAAGTGACGCTTTCCCAGGAGAGGGAAAGGCCTACCTTAGTTTGCAAGATCTGCTATATGCATCCAGATCACTGGGCGACTATTTTTTGTGGGCACATGGTTTGCGAGTCATGCGCAGCACAACTTGGAATGCCGCAAATTTGTCCATTATGTCGAAAATCATCCACAGGATATGTCAAATGCTTTCCTTTTGCAGGATAAGACATGTATGCGAGGCCAGACAGAGGTTGCCGACACTACGTATGTGCTTAGTTCTTTCAATCCGATATTCTCTTCTCTGGGTTTAGGCATTGTCTCGGGCATTATGAAGCACAACTTGTTCTATCGTGAAAAGACCCCCATCGAGCGGTACAGAATGGCGACCACGAGGTAATAAATCCATATATTTTGATATCTTATCTGTACTAAGGCATCTATGTGGCGAGTGTCGTCTGGCTAAGCCTTGGGGTTCGAAGCTAGAGCTTATTCTCGCTTCTATTGGTGAGTAAAACTGGTAAGGCCCCTGCATTAGAACGTTGCGGTATAGTAAGAGAGGCCCTGCTTGCGGCGTGGCAAACCCGGCCTCTGGCGTGCGTATGCACGGCCCCCTCTATAGAGACGGTACGAGCGCAAATAGAAAGATAAGGCAGTGATTGAGAATGTGGCTTGCAGGTGTGCTGCGCTGGAACACCGGAGGAGATATCACGGTTAATTTAGTAGATCCAAAACCTGCCAACAGATCAAGATGCAGTCAATCATCTTGTTGATGGATGCTTATTATATGAAAACCTAGAGATTTATAAAAATGCACTGGTTGCAGAACGAGCCACATCTAACATGGAGGGAAAGAAAGCATTGCAGGTCAGAACTAGGTCAATTTTATTTAATTATCAACGAATTAGTTACCACCCGGTTTACCTTCATACATAATTATAGGATCAGGAATCACCCCCGTTCAATGAAAGGCAGCTGAGCCGAAAGTGGGAGGACTGGCAACTGATGCCGACGTGAGAAACGGGAAGAAGAAGGGTCCGTGCGACGCGCCGATGGCGCTGAGGCACAAAGCTACATATACATTGAACACATTTTAAAGCTGATCTCGCATCTTTCCATCGACAAGGCTCTCATTTTGTTCTCTCTTCCGCTACCGTAACCCATGCACGGCTTTCGCTTTCCTCCCACTCGCAATAGCCATATCCCAACTTGCTCTGGAATTTACCAATCAATAAGTGGAGGCGAACGCACCGACATAGCTACCTAGACAAAATACTGTCTCTCCGGCTTCTTCCTCTATCTTTAGTCGGAAAGACGCATATCCTTCAGTTAGTTGGCGGGGACGAGTTTTCCCTCCCCTAAGAACCCTGGTCCTTTTAGGGGCAAAACAGATTTCGGGTTCTATACTCTTTGCCTGGCTACCAGTTGCTGCACTATCCCGCATGCGACAAGGTTGGGCACTAGTGCCCACTCTATCAACAAGTCAGTTATTAGGTGAAAGAGATAATTGATTACCTTGAGAGTCGATAATGAGTATAGTGATTGGGATAAGCCCTAGAGGATTCAGAATGGAATGAACTGTAGTGCTTTATTATCAGCTCGGGTATATATCAAGTCAAAAGTGGTGGCGTACAGTGAGTCCATTATGCATAATCACATTTTCGGCGCTAGAGCGTAAGTATAAGGCCACGCTATACCTTCTACTTGACGTACTTCCTATCTTTATAAAGTTAAACCACGCTTTTTGTGTGGGTAGCATTGTGTAGCTAAACCACACATGATCCATGGATATCATCAACTGCCGAGGTAACCACGAGAATACACTCCTTCCTCTATTTCTACTTATCTGGGCTGTAATAATATCTTCTTTATTTAGGAGGTCTGAATGCAGCAAGTATTCAAGTAACATCAGAAATAACGAATTAAATGGGACAAAGGATAAAATCAGAAAGGCCGTCACGCTGCTCTAGACTTTTCGATCAAACGCTGTGATCGTCGAAGCGTTGACGGAATAACCTCGAGAGTTTCGTCCGACGTGACAGTCTGTTGAGCTAGAGTGTCTGCCTTCAGGGATCTGTCAACAAAAGCTTTGTATATGACTCTAGGTTCAGCTTACCAGCGTCAGACGTTTGAAGCGGGCTAGCCTCCATGTCGTAGTAATAAGCTTGCAAATCAAAACTGTCGGTAATATCCATAGTTTCATCTACCAGGCAAGGATCGCTTGTAGGTGATTGCCCGATGACCTGAAGGCTTCCATGGTCTTCGTAGGCTAGCGTTCCACTCGGTAATGGGATGAACGGGAAAGAAATAGCCTGGGTTCTACCTTCGGTATAAAAGCCAGAATGGTCTACGTTGGCCTCATTCAGATCCATTGTATCTTCACCCAAAGGGAAAGGAGTATCGAGCTCTGGTGTCATCATACTCCGGGTGTCAAAAGTATAATCCATGTGGCCCAAATCAAGAGATTGAAGCCCTTGAGTGCAAGGAGGAACAGAATGAGAGAGGTCAAAGTTTGGTTCAAGAAAGTCATTCTGGAGCCTAGAAAAATGATAATGAGCAACTCCCATGAATATTCTTAGTTTAGTATCTTGCTTATCAGGGCGGCGATCTTATGGTATGTTTGTCCTTATTATTATCAGTCCCAGCGTTTCTAGTTTGGATAGTTTGACTAATTTGCATGGTTTGCATAGTCACCCCTTCAATATATTGGGACATCAAGGCTCCTTCACATCTCACCTTCGCAACATGTCATCTATCTTACGGATTCTTTCTTCACGCACTCTTCATCTATTCCAAGCAATGTGGTACCCCTTAGATATCATAATTGGTTCAATCTTCAAGGCCTTGCGAGGTCGGACACAACAAGCTAGTGACTCTGAAGCGACGTCTTCACCAACTTCAGCAATTGTAAGTTATAAGGGGCATTTGTTGACTTCGTTGATTCCTAATGGTACCAGGATGTCCGGAATGAACATACAGATACTATGTCCCACGCTGAAATCATCGAAGTGCCCCGATATTACCCCCCAGGGGTTTCAGAGATTATCGGTCGCGGTGGCGAGTGTTTCGTCGGAGCCATTGATGAGTTTACAGTCTTGAAATATCCATGTATTCCTGGCGATTGTGAGAGCATTCAAATAGAGGCCCAGCTCCTTAAGGTCCTTGGAAGCCATCCCCGTATTATCGCCTTCAAGGGCCTGACAGAAAATGGTCTCGTTTTGCAACGCGCATCAAATGGTTCTTTGAACGACTATATCGCATCGCAATCGTTTATACCTCTCGATAGGAGGCTACTCTGGTGCAAGCAAGCTGCCGAGGCGATCAGTTATATCCATGAAAAACGTGTCATCCACTGTGACATAAACCTTCGGAATCTCCTCCTTGATAGCAATCTCGATATATTACTTGCAGACTTTCAGGGGATGTTGAAGTCCGTTGATGGCAACACTATATTGGATGGGCTCTCTCGGGAATGCTCAAAGTCATATCAGCCTCGAATCCATGGGGATTATGCATGTGTGACGACCGATCTTTTTGCGCTTGGTTCCGCTATCTACTTTATCATGACCGGACATGAGGTCTTTCCTGAACTTGATAGCTTGGAAGATGATGAAGAGATTTTGTCGCGCTTCCAAAAGGGGCTCTTCCCGAATGGCAACCATCATTGCTCCCAAATTACAGAAAAATGTTGGAAGCAGCAGTATCGGCAAGCTGCTGAGGTTGTTTCTGATCTATCTCTTATTCAAGTCACCTAGATAGTCACTGAAATATATTCGGGAATCGATACATTTATAGATTCTTTAATGTTCTTGGCCTGTCGGATTGAATGCCAATATAAGACAGACAGCGATCTGTTTTAACGAAACCTGCTAGGACAGCCAAGGTAAAGGTCGATAAAGGAAACAAAAATTCGAAAATGAAGCGAGCAAGTAGAGCAAGTTGCAATTTCGCTAAGCTTATAGCTGAAAAGACTGTTCAGCTATTACAGTCATTACTTCTCCCGGGCATAGACCAATCAACCATCAATGTATTCAGCACTGCGACTTGCCCTCTGGCAATAGAAAAGAGAACGACAGGAGCCGCTAGGTTTACTTCGTGACCCACACCCAGCTATGTGCCACCATTGCCAATTATGTACACAGAGAGAACGGTATACATCCATAACAATCTGGACATAGAGAATGAAAGGAAGAAAAGCCACGGAGCGGGGGACGTCGTAATTGTTATCTCTGAATCTCAACACTTGGGACATATTCCTCCTTTCTTGGTAGACTGGCCCATATGCTGGTCCTTATATCCACCGCAATTTGGTTTGCCGCATGGCGGCTGAGGATCATATTTTGTAATGACGTGTTTGGGTTGTGCCGTGCAATTGACAAATTTGGTGGTATAGACAAATCGAGTGCACATCTTGGTGATTTCCGATCAGGGTCTGGCTCAAGTTAGGCTCCCTCAGATCAAGGTCAGGATTTAAGCGACTGGTATAAGCTTACTTTTGAGTAACAAGTTAGCTAGGTTATGAAGTATGGGAGTGGTTTCTTGTTTGAAGAGAGAGTACCTTCAAGTAGGAGAGGGAAAGCTACAACTTTATAGATCTATGACCTTAGATTATTTTTATTTACCGACGCAGTCTTTTTTATCAGATAGGAGTTACCTAGACCAGTATTATTGTGCAGAGAGGGGAACCCTGCGTCTTGGTATTGATGTGCCAAGGCTATCGATCCCACCAGACCATCTAGGGAAGATAAAATGTCTGAGCTCATAAAACGAGTTACAGCGCTTTGTATTTTGAAAGGGGTGGTTATAACGTTGCTTTTGTCTGTAATTGCTTGATGACGAGCCCTTTATCACCATTTTTGACCTGTGCTTCCTAGAGGTTGGATCCCGCATATTTTTAGCGCTGTGCAATGACGCCAACGATATTTTTCGAAGGGAACCCTGCATGACATTATCTTTCTGAGGTCTCCTGGCTAGGATCTTGTTGTTGTAGGCTGTGAACCCTCCGGATTGAAGTACATAAAGTCAACTTAACAAAGTACGAATAAGTATCTGGAGACCAATGGACCACGGGTGAGGCGTCCAAACCCCTATCATGTTGTGGCAGTGTGACAAAATATGCGGGAATAAGAGGTCCAGACCTACGAAGGTAGAAGGCTGACGTGTTGGTTTGAGGGGTATTGTGGGTCTTGGCACTAACCCTGGGGTTAGTGCCAAGACCCACGGTCCACATTCGAACTATTTCTACTGGGTAGGGCCCACCATTTTATTACCATACTTTTTTTTGGCCAAAATGCACAGTGCCGATAAAATTCTCCACGCAGTTACATTGTTGTCTGAAGCTCTACAAGAAAGAGACGCCCGAGAACTGCTGTTACATCACCGACAAGAGTTGCAGCTGGCCTTCGACAATTTATGGGGAATACTACGATCATCGACTTCGTGCAACCTCCCGGCAGTTGAACCCTCCGACCAAAATCAGAACGAGGATTTGCCGCACCATCTCCCCTATCAGGATCAACGAGTCCCATTAGAAGCCGCAGATGTCTCGCATTTGGCACATCAGCTTCAGCAGCCGGTGCTTTCATTATCACCGCAATCTGAACCCAGTTTACCAGAATTGGGTGACGATGACAATCCCACGCAGGAGCAGAAAGACACCGTTGCTCTGTTTATGAAAAAGCTCGACCGTGTTTCCAAAAATATTCGCAAATTCCTAAACCAGAGCGAAGATGATGCTCTGCTTATAAACAATGACTGGACGACGGATGACCCCCGTTTGGTCGATATCGACCTGACAGAACGACGTCTCACTCCCTCCATAAAATTACGAGGCTGGCTTGCCCGGTACTCATTTGCAGATGACTATCTAGCCTGGGCAGCGGGACACTATAATCTACCTCGCGAGCACTTTTTGATTTTGCAACCGGAAGATGCAGATGCTGCCAACAGGCATTCGAGCCCGGTTACGAATTACATGTCTGTTATCAATTCAGAAGACCAAAGAATCATCAGGGCGATACGGCACGGACTCAAATATCATTCGTTTCACCATATCCACGGAAATTTTGGGGCCTTCGCTTTCCTTAGCCAAATGTTTACTGCGTTTCGGGATGTACCCTACCCATGCATTAAGCTCTTGTCAGACTCAATTCACGGTTCCTCGGAATGGTCTGGCCTTTCGAATAAGAAAGCAACTTGGATTTCCGATTGCTGGGCAATCTACAGCACCACTGGTATGTTTAACATGTCAGCTAATGCCAATGGCTCAAAGCTTACATATTTGCAGTACGATACTCGCGTCAGGTACGTAGCAGGAAGCGTCCATTCGGGGCCGAAAATCCGAATGAGCAGGGCCAGTCCAAACGCCAGCAATTTACATCCTCATCAGAAAATACGACTGAAACAAGAAGTCACTCAACTCACGCAGAGTTGAACTCATGTCAGTTTCAAGACGATGAATCATTGCCTAGACCAAATTTGCCGCAAGATTTGAGGGAGTTGCAGGGTATCTTAGGAAATTTTGACCCAATCACAGACCTCGACTCACTCGGGGTGGACTATACAGATGGACAGGAGCACCCCGAGAATACAGAAAACCTGGACCGCAATGATACCACGCAGAGTGTGCCTGGTTTCCCCCAGGAAGATGGCTATAATCACCCTACCACGCGAGGAAGGGATGGTGAATCACTGCCTAGCCTAAATATGCCGCAAGATTTGACGGAGTTACAGGATCTCTTGGGAAATTTTGACCCAATCACAGACCTCGACTCCCTCGGGGTGGACTATACAGATGGACAGGAGCACCCCGAGAATACAGAAAACCTGGACCGCAATGATACCACGCAGAGTGTGCCTGGTTTCCCCCAGGAAGCTGGCCAGGATTACCATGAAGTATTTCCTTTTCAAGCACTCGAATCTTTGGCCCAGCCTATTTGTTAAAATACAAAAATGTCTTGTTCCATGTGTTCATCTGTCATTATACACCCTTATCTTCCAACTCCCAGACAACGAAAACAACATCGATATTGTCCCCAGAAAGCGTTGGATGATCATCGATATAGCAGTAGGTATCGCTTGGTAGTTGGCCGCCCGGAAAAAGGGTTGAAGTTCCATTTATCGGTATGATCAGTAATTGCTTTTTTGGATCAGACGGGGTTATATTGGCGCCTTTGAAAAAGTGCCGCACGGTGCAGCCGACCACCTATAAGGAAATCAATAAACAGCTTTGCGTGGGAAAGGTAGAGCGATACACTCACATGCATATCTTGACGTTGAAGTTCTTGCTTCATTTCTTCATGTAGAGAAGCTACCAGTCCGGTGAAATTCGTCCCCCCATACTGCCATCCGGTTACGCTTTTCTTTAACTGATCCGTCTCTCCTTTCTCAATAAGCACTCTCATTGCATCGATAATATTTTTTGACTCGCGCGAAATTGGTTGTTGCCGCATATTGAATGGGATGACTGCCTCCGGCCAAAAGTGGTTGACAGGCCTTTATGATAGTGCGAGTTGGGCGGGCAAGTGGAGGGGGGATAATCTGCAGATATGCCCGAAAACTAGGATCATGTCATGTGATTCAATCAAGCAGTCGACAAGCAGCTTATACACGTGATGTCACGTGTCTATCGTCCTTGGTCCCACAATCTAAAGTCAACATGTGACCCCTCGCTCTACATCTCTTTCATTCTTTCAACCGAAGAAAAGCTTACAACATCGTTGTCCTTCCAAAGTAAAAGTGAGTCATTCAACTGATTAACTTTTTACATAGACTGGATTGATGAAGAAATCTACAGCTGTGTCTCATCCTATGTTTCCGGGGACACGCCTGGTTCTGCATCATCGGACTATTCAGCTATCTGCTTTCGCCTTCTTTCTTTAGGAATCATCAGCAGAATTCACTTCCAAGTCACATTTCAACCAGCTTGCTGTCATCAGTCTCATATCCGCCTACGACGCCTCGTGGAGATCTTGCACGTATACTAGCAGATGATCCCTACAATGAGCGGCATATTCTTGCTTTTACACGATGAAATGATGCAATCCGTAGGATCATCATAGTGTCGTTTAGATAGAAGCACTTTCAGATGACATGCCACTTTGAGGGGAATCGTAAGTCTTGGCACTAAACCCAGGGTTAGTGCCAAGACCCAACGGTTTACATTTTGATTAGCCGTTGGTGTAGAGGTTGCTAGATACAGGTAAGTAAAATCAAACCGAACTACAGGGTTTTGATTCAAATAGTTATATTAGTAGACTATTTCAACCAATCATTTGATTGGCATCAGTAGTTGCTAATCCTTTCCGTCCCTACGTTTTGTGGCTTAAGAAGGAAATTTCAATTAAAAGGTCCGTATGATAACCAGTAGGTTCCTCGCTACGAAGGCTGTTTCCCAGCTGGATTGATTATTTTCTCTTCATTCTAGACGATTCCCAGTTCGCCAGAGAAACCCAGAAGCTCTTGTGAACCCCAACACTTAGTCTAAATATTACCAGCCACTATTTCACGGAAGTATCCGTTACTCGAAAATCATATCACCGATATGCTCCTTCATTTATGTTAATGCGGTTTTCTGCAGATATTACCAGTCAGCCTACTCCCATCGAATCGGCTCGATCTTCGATGAGTGATACCATTACTACCCCAATTTACCTTCAGACCCCAAAACGCTAATCCCGAGGTCAATCCAATCCAACGCAGGTCGCTATAATTTGGCTCTTCCAGTCGTATAGAACATTATACTTGAGACAGCGATCATAATGAGTCTGATGTTTGCTCGTCTCTGGAAGGAGCTGAACATTATAGGGTTACATTTTACGATCCTCCTTGTTGCTATTTTCTCGTTTTATGTACACTTTACTACCTCCTTTTGCTCCACAATCGCCCTCCGGTATACAAAACGGCGAGCTATATGCTTAGATCTAAACTCAGTTGACATCGTATATAGAGAGATCAACGAAGCAAAAGAAGGAGCCAGGTTTTCCTATCATTATTCCTTAGGCACACGTCTAATCACTGCGCTATCCATTCGACAGTCACGTAAAACGCAGAGCCCAGCCAGTTATGATTAGTCCTAAAGGGAGCATGTCTAGTGCTAGGTAGGTCGTGTCATCACTAGAGACTTTCAACCAAGCTAAGCTGAGATTTATAGACGTGGAAAGAGATCCGCCTAAAATGTACTAGTGCAGAATATTGATATGAGACATAAGATGCATACATGGCGCAATTACTTCATTCTCCTGAAAGTAAGCCGATAGATAATAACCACGCACTATCTAGTATCACGGGACTCTATAGTATCTAGGAATCCAATATCTAGAGAAAGAGACTTTGTGACTTTCCAATTTTGACTTCCTTATGCAACACCCGCCTCCGGGATATAGAAGGCACGACACGGGCCGCACGGGCCGGACACTTTATGAGGATCTTTTGATCACGATCGTCGGTAGAGCGTGCTCCAAGAGTCGTATATACGATTTGCTCCTCTCAGGCGAATGCTCCAATAGTGATATACATGCCCTGATAGTCTTCTGTATCCAAATATAAAGAGAGCTTCTCAATTCATCATCTATAAAAAGGGTTTGGAAGTTATATTTTGAAAGCACCTTGACTTCCCAGTGTGTCAACTGTCTAGAATCTAAAGCAAAAAGACCCTTCGACTACCTTGAAGTATGGATGACGACTTGGTTTCCAACTTTCTGGCCTACACCCTATTATCATGGATTGCTTTGATGATTGTCTGCATTTTTAAAAGTCGGCTTTGGGATTTAGTGAAGTATTTCTGGACTGGCCGTGGACCAAATGTATGTCTGATATTAAGATTTACAAATTATTTTAGCTACAGAAACTGATTATATCATAGGACTAAGATATCGCCTAGTCTCAACCTATGTTGTAATTATTCTTCTTATATGTGGAGCTATGTAAGTTCGAAGGCATCCTATCTTATTTCCTCTTATTAACCAGGAAGCATAGTTGTACTGGACCAACCTACCCTAAACAACATCCTTCATGTCAAAGCAAAAAATAATGACGTTGCCTACCTCAATACAAACAAAATTCTATAAAGAAAGTCTGTGGGTCAGAATAACTACTTATTGATACTGCTCTGCTGTCTGAATAGTTCCCTGTACCTGGATCACCAGAAATAGCTATCAGCTTGCCAATAAACCATCATGTATTGCATTTCAACTTTCTCGATACAGAGACTACTTCCTACCTGTATTCTGTCTATTTTCTTTATTCAAGACGACCCTCTATCCACCTCGGGAAGCCAAGAAGAGCACAGAGCAGAAGGCATAGATACAGAAGAAGCTTTGACTACATACTCCCCACCAATATTTCACGGTAGTTCGTCATCGGCTACCCAGAATATTTATTCGTATATACTAAGCAATTTCTCTTCAGCTATTACCAGTCAGGCCGTTCTCACCCAATCCGCTCGATATTCGATAGGCGACACCATTATTCTTCCCGACCCCTTCTCTACCCCAATTCGCCTTAATTATCCCCAAAGGGCAAGGAGAACTCACCGCAGGTCGCTATCTCCTGGCCATTTTAATCGCATAGAGCCTTGTAAGTATAATATAGAACTCAGAGTGGATTTCTGAAGACGCTAATGATATAGATCTTCATACAAGGCCACCACGAAATTGAGGTCACAAAGGGTCTCCGGATAGAGGAGGGGGCAGTTCTGTTCACGGGGAGAATACGACATCAATAAATGTTTACTTCTGAGTTGTGGTATAATCTCTAGGATTTCATCTGTTTACTCCTTCTCGTCTATTTCCACGCTGGTTTCTACTTATTTTCTATGTCATATTCATTCGCTACCTTTATATTTCTATACCCCACTATCTCCACTGCAATTCGTAATAGGGAACGGGATTTTGACAGGGGTAGATACAGTACAATCAGGGCCAGAAAGTCAGGTGTGCCCCCACTCAAAGCTAAGAAGGGGCTAAGAAGCCATAGCTTATTTTGTTCTTTGCTCTATAAAAGCAGCAGCCACCCCAATCTCAGTCGGTGTACTGTGGCCACGGTTTCTATCACAACCTGTGCCATGGCGGCGTCTGCTTGGACGGTCAAAGAAGACCTGGATCTTACTCTTGTATGAATGTGGTCTGTAACAGTCAAACTTTATTATCGCTGACATTGCGGCCTAGGACAATCTCACCCATTATGCCATCATATATATCGATCACGATGGCAATCTTAAGACCTCCGCATCTCGGTCTATCCAGCAACAATGCGAAAATGTATTCAATATGGAAGCGCGCCAAAATTTTCTCGAAATTATACGCCAACCTACTCTCCGTATGTAAGTATTCTGTGCATATGAGCCCTAACTGATCGTTCTACAGAGATAGGTCAACAGAGATTTAGCAGTGATGGCTCTAGCACTTTGGGTATACGGATTGGGGATACAGAAAGCGTTATAAGTTACTATACACGTATCCTCAACTGTATCCTATACCGGAGTTGCAGCAGTGTTCTCAAGGTTCTTATAACCGTGATCGAGCCGCAAAAGTCTTTACATCACCCTTATAACGGTGGAGAAAAGGGAGACCCGGAAATGACTAAGCCTGATTGGTGGCCCTCACGTATCAGTCATACATATCCTAACCATTTGAAGAAGCAAGGTATGTATTTCTATATAGTACTTCTTCCGAGTCCGAGTTAACTTTTTTGCTGGGCTAGACTGCATCGATCTATTCCTTCACATTCTCCGCAAGGCCGGTCTTACTGCCGATGGCCTGGTAAAGATTGCTACAGATGCCAGGCTGAAATTAAAGCGCATGAGAGACTTGAATCTTATCCTCGAGCTCTTGTGGGTCCGAAATGTGGAGGAACAGTTTGAGCGATGTGTAGTCCGTATGTCCGAGTCCTCCTGGCATGCTTTACAGATAACTCACACTTCTTAGATGCTGATGACATCATCTACGTTACTTCATGTTCCGTTCACAGCACCTTCACAGAGTCCACCTATGAAGCCTTAGGCCGCTATGGCGAAAGGACCGATTCAAGCTCCAATTCTTTAAACCAAAGGCCGCAATGGTACCACCCAGTATGAATCACACGTAATGGGATACCAAGTGACTACTAAATTGCTAGTGGGTGGGGTATTTGTCGCCTTTTTAATGTTCTTTCTTTGTTGATTACAAGTCTTATCATACTTCGATTTAGCTTTTTAATTTCTTTCCTTGCCTTGTCCGAAACTTTTCATTCTGCAGATCTTTCGTGTATTTCCTTCGTCTTTCTATAAGCTTTTTATATCCTACGTTGTTCGCTATGTATGTTGTTTGAAGATTTATCGGGCTTTTTGTTGGTGAATCATCCGCTTAGACAGTACTTGATCTGTAACTGTGTTGTCGAATATAATATATGACGTCGTTATATATCAATAAAGTGACTTGTTCTAGTTGTAGACATTGGTGCCATCCATAGAATCTGTTGGGTGCCTGGGACATGCCGCATGTGATCAAACCCCACGTAGCAGATGGTTCTCTCTGTCCCTTCCTTTTCCTCCCTGTTATCTTCATCCAGTGGAATCAATACACATTTTTCTCTTCATCTGGTAATCTATTGTATCTTGATTCCAAGAGAATCTCCGTATAATGATGGCCTAATGCCGAGTCCAAAAGTATTCATGTCTAAGGTATCAATTAACTTGGAGCTAAGAGGCTAGGAGCCGGGATTTCCTATAGCACACAGTAAATTAAAATGTACAGGCTAGTTCTACGATGGTCCCAATTTACAGCGGCCGACCTGTTGAAGAATATAAAGCTAGCTACTTCCCTAATTCATTTTTCTCTTCTACCAATGTCGAAACTCCTCGCGATGAATGACTCTCCAGATGCCGGCTTTGAACTTATACCAATAAGCGCGACTAGCAAGCTCAGAGATTACTATCAGAATGAGCTCAAAAAGCTTAGCCTCGATGAACTATGCTACATCTCTAAAATGTTAGGCAAGCCAAAAGACAAACGAGACAAGAAAGGTATTGAGCCTCTATGATAAATCTAACATCCACTAAGCTTTAAAGCAGAAACAATAACGTCTATTCTTTCGGTATCTAAGCGCTTTACGATCCTTTCAGCTGTGGAAAAATCTCCTACAAGCCCGGTAGGAATAAGAAAAGTACTAAGCGTAATCACACCGCTTATGGGATTTGACGAAGCGTACCTGAATAAGGAATTGGGTAAGTATTCTTTACCTACTCTATCATCAGAGCTAACCTACGTAGGCGACAATATGGCTGTTAAAATTACGAGAGATGGCGACAGCTGTACATTTACACTATTGAAGATACGTGAGTGTCGACCTTTGCCGTGGGCTGTTATAAGTTGTCAAGATCGGTGTCCTAGCGTGGCTCGTGTGCTCCCAGCATCGCAGACTGCAGAAGTATCAAGGGGGTTAAACCTTACCATGGAAATCAGTAAGACTTCGGGCTAGGTACATTTTGCTCTTTTCCCGGAGCTTAGAGTTATCTCACTCGTCGATATAAATTGTCAGAAGCCGAGGTATCGGAATAAAGAGTTGTCAATGCGTGCTGATTGCCCGCACGAAAATCAATAATATATACATGTACGTAGACTCAAACATCATTGGACGAAATAACTTAATGTAATAATGTGACAAACTAGAGCTATAGAGTAGGAAAGCTGGCCCTATATTAATGTCGGTGCTCTAGCAACTACTTTGAGACCTATTCAAGGTAATTGTGGGCCCCCACGAATGTAAGCTAGATAATAACCCAACAATCTTACTCTGTCTAATTCTCGAAGAAAGGGAATTCGTAGGTAAGTATGTTATGACGAAAGCGACCAGCCTAGATCTAAAATTTCTATCCTTGTATGTAATGGTATTTAGATTAGTGTAGATCGTCGCGATAAATTAATTTACTAAGGGAAAATGGGTGGATCCATCCACTAATACCGAGGTAGGTAAGGACCAACTATAGCTAGAATTAGCTTCGGTCTATTATAAAAGCCCTATACCCTTTTCCTTTGTCTACCTACACTCACAAGGAATCTCAGTAATATGCACACTAATATTATGGAGGTACTACTAGTTGCCTTTGAGTCATTTTTTCCTGGGTTTTCTATAATAACCCAACTTGTCTCCTCTTATTTACCTATCGATGTTTCCTCATACTCCGGTTCCTTGGTTCTATTCGCTATTTTGTGTCCATTCATCGGTTTCCTGCTTCCTCGATTTCTCTACAACGTCCAAAATGTGCTCCTTTACTTTACTGTCTCCATTGAGATTCCCTACCACGACAAGCTACACAGCCAGTTCTTACGCTGGATAGAAAGGAATGATTCATTAAGCTCCACCCGCTCTGCTACTGTCCGCTCAACACGTGTTATCTCCATGTCCTGGCAAAACGAAGGCGATGATGACAACGAAGAAGATACCTCAGTGGAGCAAGAGCGCTTTGAAAAGAGCAGAAAAAACTTCTGGTTTTTTCTAAAAGAAAAGCAAAACATTAAGCCAATCCGTTGTACCCCCTCCCAAAGGAAGCTTCATTTGTTCCTATACCAGGGGTGTCTTGTCGCTCTTTACCGTGATCCGTATGAGAACCAGAACAGTTGGCTCGCAAATCCGGAAAGATTTACGATCTACTCGTTCTTTTGGAGCAAAAAGGTGCTTTTCGGACTTCTAAAAGAAGCACAACAAACCTCAATCCAGCGTCGTCAGAATGAAATTACAGTATTTCGCGGTTGGAACCAACGAAATACAATTAGTTGGGCTCCGACTGTGTCAAAGCCCCCTCGTCAATTACGGACTTTAGCCTTGCCTCAAAAGATTAAAGATGATATACTGAAGGATATCGAGAATTTCCTGTGTCCACAATCAAAAGTATGGTATGAATCTCGTGGTATTCCATACCGCCGAGGTTATCTTCTCTATGGTCCTCCCGGAACCGGGAAGTCAAGTATGTGCTTTGCAATTGCGGGGTACTTTTGGCTTGATATTTACACGGTCAGCTTGAACGCCCAAAAGCTTGATGAGGATAGCTTGACTAGCCTCTTTCAGAGTCTCCCAAAACGGTGTATCCTGCTTCTTGAAGACGTGGACAAGGCCGGGATTAGCCGAGAGGGCAATCAGCACAGGAAGGTTGCCGGCCAAACTAGCCGGATGGAGGATTCTCTCCAAGAAAATGAACCTGAACGCGCTGGTATTTCTTTATCAGCCCTTTTGAACTGTCTTGATGGTGTCGCGGCACAGGAGGGCCGTATTCTCATCATGACCACCAATCATCTCGAAAAGCTTGATTCGGCCTTGATTCGACCTGGTCGAGTAGATAATAGATACCACTTCGACTTTGTGGATACCATGAGCGCCAAGCAGCTCTTTCTCATCTTTTTTGACAAAGGTTCTTCGCTTACGGAAAGAGACGCAAACAATGAAGAGACATGCGACAATGCAACATTGGAGCTCTCTGTTGAATTCGCGGATATTGTTTCCTCAATTCAATTGACTGCCGCGGAAGTAAACAACTATCTGATGAAGTTCAGAGACGACCCTAAGATGGCTGTTTCGAATGCCCGTGGCTGGGTGAGTGGCAGAAAAGAAACGGCTATGCTCGCCGCTGAATCCTAAATCAGCAGCAATAGCTGTAGCAATAACGCAATCGAATCTGTTTCCCTTTGTTGAATGCTCCCAGGTAGTCATTTTACTCTGGCTACGGCCATAAGTCGACCCTTCTTCCTCTCTCATTCCAGAGCTCTTACCATAGGTTCGGCCTTCAATAGCACCACCTACTTTCATGATTCCATCCACATAACACTTATTCCTCTATATACGTGACGTCATAATGAAATGAAGTGAGGTAGATCACTGGTAGGAAACCCAGTCGTCATCCATACTTAAATGTAACTGAACAGCGTGTTCGAGGATTACAGACAGTTAATGTATCAAGGTCCTTTAATAGTAAACCTTAGAATTGATTTATCCTTATAATTAACGCTAACAAACCACTCGACGGATCGTTAAAAGGGAGGTAGTATCCATTCTTATACTTCATCTAATTAGTCCCACCATAATCGATTATGTGAGTCTTAGACCAAAGGGGGGTGTTCGTTGCTTTTTACAGCTTCTTATAGGCTACAATACAGCCACCCCTGCCCACCAACCTCTAGTCCTAAACCAATTATAATTTATTCTTTCGAACCGTATAGTATATACTAAGTAAAACCACAGCAGTCCGGAGTAATGAATATATAAGGAGTAAGTAGCCCTCAGAAAATTACCGACTTTATCAAATCATTTTTCAGTCAACCAAATTGCACAAAATGGAATCAGAGGATTTTTCTAGTAAAGGGCCGCCAAATACTCCTGTCTTCCATGGCCATTCCCAGCCGGACCTTGACATGACTAAACTACGGAAACTATTAGTATGGTTTAAGTCTTCTCAGCGTTGCTTATCTAGCGATGAGCAGGCCGAGGAGGTCCATGTGGTAGATTGGCTTGATCTCCAACATCCAATTTACATATCGAACCTTCGGTCGTTTGAGAAATGGGTATCAGAGTCTCGTTCTTAAAAGGTCAAGGTACGTATAAGCCACTAGTCAATCACTCCTTCTACCTTTTCAGATAGCTGACGTAGGTCTAGCTGGAACAAATAAGCATATAAACATAAGGTTAACAGGCCAACGGAGACCAAGGAAGACCTATGCAACTATGCTAAGTATGTATTCATTATCCGAGAATTAGAGCGAAAATCGACTAACAGTATAATCAGACTCGGTGTCCGACGAGCTGGAAGATATGCAGGTAACAAAGGGGGTAGTCCGGACTACTAAAGCTCGGCATATGCCATCTTATAAACTACCTATAATACACGTCAATCATGAACTATAACAATAACTTTTCTAAGGAGATTTTAGGCAGGATTTTATTCACAGAATTCATGTTCAACGATACGTATGGGAAACTAGTTGTCATCCACCAGGGACCTTTACCGTAATATTATATACTCCTCTCTTCCTTGTCCGGCTCTCTCGTTTAGTAATCTCCATTTAGATTATTCATTGTAGTGATATGGTTATTGATACCAGCCTCCCTTTTACGACGATAACATGTTATCGTGTATACTTCTTCATGATTTCATCCACCTCCTGGTTTATGCAATTGTATCTCTCGTTGCCTTTTTGCCCCTTGCCCACAGAAGAATAGGCGGTTCGAGAGATGCTCCATCGGGCCTGGTGGAGGTCAATTCGGGAAATAAAGCAGCTTTCCAATTTCTGTCCGTTATTTGGGTGCGCATAATTTACTCCGGAGGTGTGTAGTTGTTTTGGTATCGGAAACATTCAGCCCGAACCTTGTCCTACTAGAACTAAACGACGCGGTATATCCCACCATTGTAAAACCCCTTATCCTGCGATATCAATGAATTAAAGATACATTTTCCCATAGCGCCCTTGAGTCAAGTACTAGAACAATGCCGGTCGCGGAAATCCAAGCATCCATATCCTTGTTCATAGAAGGCTAGGCAACATAGGAGTGGCAATATATAAGTGGCATGACCTACTTCCAATATCTAAATTCTTTTTTACCCAAAATCAGCTATGTCGACTGGAACAAACAACACCGGTTCCCTTTTGGGATACCACTCCCTTCCCGAGCCGATCAATGCAGCCACCGTGAACGTTCCTCTCCATCGTTTGAAAAAACTCTTTCCCGGCATTCAACGCTTCACGGCTATGGCTGTCACATTTTCCTACCACCCCGATAGCCCATCCAAGCTAAGGGTTCTGTTGATCTTGCGAAATGGCAAGGAAAGCTCATGGGGTAATACCTGGGAGACAGGAGGAGGAACCCCAGACGAGGAGGACCCGACCATCATCCATTCCGCAGCCCGAGAAAGCGGGGAGGAGACGCAAATTTGGCCTTCGAGAATAGCTGGCAATGCTTTCACGTGTTCTTTCTATCACGAAGATAGAAAAACCGGCGATATAGTCCTCATGCGCACGCTCGGATTCATCACCATCGACAACGAAGAGACGATGGCGCAACGAGTCTGGTCCAGCGAGATGCAACAGCCTCTCGGCCAAAGTTCCGTCAAGATCAGTCATGAGCACCTTGACCATTGCTGGTTCACTGAGGATGAAGTTCGCAGCGCTGCTCTATACGAGCAAGCCACTCCACGGCGTCCATTCACTATGCTTCGGGCCAAAAGGGACATGGTTTTACTTGCCTTTGAGTTGTTCAGAAATCTCCAAGGTCAGAATTTGCCACCTTCAATAGATATAGTGCGCTAGGACGTGGCGACAATGCAAGGACAATTTGGCAAAATGAATGAGTTCCTTAGGAGCCCTCAAATGATAGCCATACGGAGAAAACCTGGCACTTTATTTTCGGATTTTGATCTTTGTCAGAGCAATAGAGCGGTAACTTACCGCTAGCAAGGGTTGTTGAAGAGAAATTCACTTTCCCAATACAAATTGTATGTCATTTTGTGCTTAACTGAGAATCTGGTGTCATAACTACATACCAATTATTGGCGCATTGACCTAGGCCTAGGGTATTCAACATGCGATGCGGAAAGGTCTCCAGCGCCAGTCCCCTAGCGGACAGTAAAGTGGCAGCGTCAAAATAGAAGAACTCATTTCCAGCCCACCTCATGATCTGACGGTGCAGGCATCAACCAGATCAACTAACATGGTGATCCATAGGTATGTGGTTTGTCGCTCGTTGGCCACAATGTGCACGCAGAACTGGTCGATAAAGAATACGGCCTAATCTCGTTGCCTTTTACATTACAAAAATCTATACCCAACGCCGCGGAAAACGCTCTCAGGATCGTTTGCTTGAACAAGCAGAGAGAAAGATAGAGGCCTGGCTCGCCACCGCATTGGTACTCCAGGCCTGCCAGTGAATGGTAGGTACGCTCTCCTGACTGGTAGCTTTTGCATCTTTGATCCACTGCTGGACTTCTTTCTTGCTGATCTGTTTGGGGAATTGGCCGTCAGTCAAGAGTCCGTCCACTACTTCGTCGAACTTGCTGCAACAGGCTAGGGTGCTCCTGCAGTTGTATAGATTATACAAAATAAATGCATCCAACTTAAAGGATTTGCTTCGTCTGCAGACTCGTCAGCGAAATTAACGCAACCAGGGCAATCAGAGAAACTCAACACTTTCTTCCCTGTCTCTTCGCTACACAGGAGAATGAATCCACGGCCCAGGTAGCACCCAGACCACCACCACCGCTCCCCAACGAGTTTATGCTCATGGAAAGACATTCGGGTCTTGTCCGCTTTTGCTTTGGGAAGAGAACCAGTGCCACAAATGATATCCGTGGCTCGAGTTTTCGCAGTCTGGCTGGGATGCCCGGCTTTCTTTTGTCTGTTGAATTCTTTGACGTACTCCAAATACAGCATTATATCTGCAAGCCGAGCTTTGAGATAATGTGTCTCATCTTCTGCCTCCATCGCCTCCACATACCGCCAAATCACATGACCCTTTCGACCAGCAGGCATATTGGGGAACTTGGACGGATCAAGTGATGGAGAAAACCAAAATCCGGTCGACTTCCATAATTTGGTGTGCTTCTCCATGAATTCGGGCAAATCAGACCTCAGAGCTCGGTTGCTTTTCCTTTCAATTTCGTCCTTTTGGTTTGGCAGAAGAGTGGATAGGAGAGTATGATGAGAGAAGCGACCTTTCCACCGATCTTTATCTAGATTGTGAGGACCTGATGTCTTTTGACCCACGCTGTTGAGAAGGCGAGCCCTGAGATTCCTGGATGGCAGAGTTGGCTGGGATTCAATTATCGATGAAAGCCTCCGCTTACGGCATATTTCAGGGCTCTCCTCCGAAGACGCCTGGGGTATATCCGTTTGTTCCTTGTTGGGGAGCGCATGCCGGTCATCGCTGTCAGGTGGGCAGAAGGCTAGGACTGGAGCATTCAGGCCCAGCTCCGTGTTCATGGTATTCGTTGCCCCACTGGAGGGGCTCTCATGATCGGCAGAAGTGTCCCCCAGAAATTTCCGCGCCTCCTCTAAGACGGCCTCGACGTCTGAATCCCCGAAGTTATCATCATTGGAGAAAGGATCCTCAGCATCATTATTCTCGGTTTCATCAGGGACATCTTCAACCGTTGGCTGATATTTCGATAAATATTGTGTGCTTTGGCAATTGTTAGTAGTTGGACCAGCAAAAGAAATTTCGCCTGGCGCCCCATCAGATGCCTCCACTCTTCTTTTTGTCGGTAATAGCGTTGTTGGTGTATCGAGTATACTTGTTTCGGGGGCGGAAGATGAAGCACCTGGGCCCAAAGTCGGACTCCTGACATAGGTCTCTGGGACGAGGGGGTGGTTGTCATAACGAGTGGTATCTGGGCTATCTCGATGTGCATCTTCTTCGACATCTGCTGTTCCCATCTCATGAGAACACACTTGAATGTTGCCAACTGAAGTATCATGAGGTGGAAGCCCACATGATATATCGTGACTCCTTCCTTCAACGCGGTCCCAGACAGAGATCTGCGTCTTTAGTTGGCTGGTCATGGGATCATCTTCATCGGTATCCACCCTTTCAATTCCTTCATCATCACTTCCTCCCACTGGAGGACACGTAGATAATTCAGGATCGTTCGTACGATCACAGGACACTTGGCGAACATCGGGTGAATGGCCTGATGATTCCATCTCGTCAATTTCTCGAATGGCGAAGTCAAAGTCATTTTCATCACATCCAAGCGCGCCGTGGGTTGTTGGTATTACGCGGTCTATTTCGACATGCGGAGGTTTGTGCTCGTTGAAGGCGCTTGAGGCGCAGTGCCCTTGAACTTCCCCATCAAATGGCGACGATGGTGGTTCACTCAGCACGTCTCTCGTGCTTGACTGTGCCAGGGAGTGAAATCGATCCGAGTCGGGAGTCGGGAATGAGGTTGTCATAGGATGGTCTCGTGCGCCTTTGTCCAAAGTTATCAAGGAGGGGTCTGGAAAAGCGAGCGATGTTAGTAATAACAACTTTGGTGAATGGGATGCAGTGAACATTACCAATGAAATGAGATGCAGATGAGCTAGCATTTGTGTCACCAGTGTCATCCAATCTGGCTGCAGGTGGCTGCAGTAGAGAGTCGTCGTCTTCGATATCATAGTTGACGAGGCAATCGGTTATCATTCCGACTCGTTTGTAGAGGTTGATAATCTCATCGCGAGAGAGTGATGATTGGACTTTGCATAAGTAGGAAAGTGCACGTAAAATCTGGAACAGAATTAGATACCTCGCAGGCCGATGCAAGGAAAGGACACACCTCATCATCCGACAGTGGGGGGAGGTTGTTGGGATTATTCGCTTCACCAGCACGGATACTCTATAAGCAATGTGAGCGAGGGAAGACCGAGTCGAATTGGCTAGCTTACATTCAGAGTCAACTTGATCTGAAGCATTCCGGTACAAATACTCCTGTGGGGAGAATAGTTCTGGTGGCGAGTATGCGAGTTGTCGGGAGGTGGCGTGAGGCCTGAGAGGATGGATGGATAAACAGGCGGATAGAGCAGACCAAAGTGGTAGCAACTCGTCCTCCGCTCATCCTTTGCTCAGGGCTTTGCTCAGGGCTCCGCTCACCCTCCCTGATCAAGGCATACGCTGAACGTTGACCTCAACATTCTGACGACTATGACTTGCAAAACAGGTGCACACATGATGATAGGAATTCCTTGATAATGTTGGCAGTTAATGATCCTTGATCCAAAACTGCAGGCTCGAAATTTTGGTCGTCTCAGGGCCAGAAAGTGATGAGAGGGAAGAGAGTTCACGGAAGAATTGGTCGACATTGTAAATATTTTCGTAAGCTCGAGTGAGTCAGCATACATGAAACAAGATCATGTGATGAGAGCATCTGGACCGATGATGGTGAGATCCTACCTCCGGCGAGGTCTGTACACTCGAAGTGCTCACTGAGCGCTTAGTAATGCTCAGTGAGCGCTTGGCAGCGATGGAAAAATTTTCTTTTCCCTACATTGAGAGGAGGGAAAGGGGGGAGGGCGGGAATACTGGAAAAAGCTTGAGAGACTTGACTCTACGTCATCTTGAGCATGGCTGACGCCATTTATGGCCAGAATATGAGAGTTGGGAAGCACGTTGTGCTCCTATTGGCCTAAAGGCACTATATAGCTAACATCTTCAAGGACCCTAAAGGAGAAGAGGAATCGCAGAGAACTCAAGAGAAGGAGAAAGCCAGCCAATCAGAATGCTCGGCGCGAGTGATCACGGTTAGGTTTGCGGGGGTTTTGTGGAGCGGTTGGGGTGGTTCTGGGGCATTCTGTTCAGCACGTGACCGCATCGAAATCCTCGATACGGTCACGTGTTACATGAACTCTGATTGGGGTGCTATCCATCCACTATATCTCCTAATCGGACACGTGCTTAAGACCCTCATTAGTTAGTTAGTTAAGCCTCCCACCAGACCAACGTACATTAGGTAAGTGGTCCTGAATCAGGACTACTTACCTCAGTATCTGAGCAACTGGAAAAAAAAAAAGGTAAGGGCATGGCGTCGTCGGAGCTCAGGATCGTTCTGGAGGTCGATCCGGGCGCCTCTTCTCCTGAGGAGGCGACTGTCAAATGGTTCGAAGCGGGTCACTCCTACATGCTCCTGGCCTGATGGCCCAATACTGTACGACAGGCTGCGGTGATGCTTGGCAAGGACGGCTGCGGCGCTATGACTCGGGGCCTTGCGCACCAAGTAATCCAGGCCTTCCTGGACTGTACTGACTGAGGAGATGACGAATGTGGCCCTTGCCCACTGCGGAGGTTAATTTAACATCTGCGATAGAAAAATTGGGAAGTATGTTTGCCAAGTGCCACTCGCTCGCCTCATCCTGGGTTCTGATACGCTGGAGAATCCAATCCTTAAAACACTTCAAAATACGCACTACGCCACCATCCCGGCAGCGCCTGTTATCTTGATTTCACATCTAATGTCAACTATGAGAGGCGCCTCGTGAAGGACTTGTGAATGTTAATAAACTTCAACCCCATCGATGTCTTACCTAATTTGAAACACTTGGTTGCTATCTTTGCAGGAGACGAGGCTTGACGTGATCCTTTCGTCTCCAGTACAGGATGGATCGAAATCAGATTCACCATTTCTCAGAGGTTCTTTCTCGAACCCTCTTTCGAAACACGTTAGTCGATGTTTGTTTTAGGGTGTTTTCGATTGCCGAAATGAAATGTATAAGAGCGTCACATGATAGTTTGCCCGTAAGTCTGGTGAAATGGCAATACAGTGGATGCAACCTCACCGCTTGCTCCAGCAGGCATTTGTATCATCAGCACCTTGATGCCGCCACGGATTTCTGTTAACGTGCTGCGAGAACTCTCCATCCCAGCGTGAGATGATCTGTGACGCGAGAATCACCAGTTAATGAGTATGTCATAGATAGTCAAAGGGGCCTTTCCGCCAGTACTTTCCCTTCTGCCTCATATTGTATCACCGCCCCAGTTTGATTGGCGACGGTAGGGTTTCGAACGAACGCGCTAATGCACAAGCGATCACATTTGAATAACAAACTGTCGACACGTCTACCGAATGGTTCGAAATCAGTTCCACCTATCGCTCATACATGTTCTTCGCCAAATCTTTGTCTGGATGGCTAGTCTACCTCCCAGTCTACCTTTGCACCAATTCATAAACAGTTGTACTGAATAGACACATAATAATGCCACGTTATCCACTGGGATATTGGTTTTCAGACAATGAAATTGAACTAATCACTGACCACATGATAGTTAGATGGTATGGGCAGAGTTCAACATTTGGAATAAACAATTTAACGCATCCAGGTAATAGGTTCGATTCCCAAATAACTCCGCCCACAAGCTCGCGTTTTTCTCTCTCCGTCTTCTCCTTCTCATTCCTCGACATTTAATCTGCATGCTCTTTCCTCCAGTCCTCGTACGTTCTATATATGTTCTCGACATCTGGATGTTTATGATAGTAGGTCACATGGTTGATTTCACAAACACCATCCCTTATGCCCTTGTGGTTGGCACAGAAAGACCGATTGCATAGAACGCATAGCTTATTTGGAAGAGTGTCTTGAAGGTATGGCTTCCTCACTCGCATCGCATTATGGACGTGGCATGTATTAACTGCAGCATCTTCGCTCTAGAGATTTATTAGCCTACATAATCAAAATGGAAGTTGGCGTGATGTGAGCGAACAGACCATTATAGAATGTTTGGTGAAGGCCGTGTTGATGGGATTTAGAGGTAGCGTCCCTGAAGAGCAAGTAGGGGAAATGGACAAAAAAGATACGAAAGGGGACAGTCAGTTTTAATATCTGAATGATGCGGTGACATTACTCGTAGCATTTTGGGATACTCGATTGGCTCAATTCGGATTGGGCATCGTTGCAGGTACTTGGAACGAGCTGGTTCTTGGCGCAACCTGCAGATGCTGGGATGTTGGTCATGCGTAGGCCGGCCATGGGAGCAAGTTATCACGAAGATGTGTCAAAGATTTCCTGGATTGATGGGATCGGAGGCCAATTATTCCACCAATGCAATCGTCGTCAAAGAAGAAAGAAACATCCCCAAACGGGCGAATATTATTTCTACCGGCGTGCATCGCGACAAGATATCCATGCATAATTTTCCGGGGCATCACTCATTATGTAGACCCTCGCATGAAAGACAACTGGCAACATCATGCTGCGGCCGCAGTTGCTGGGTGCGTCAAGGAGCCCTTTCATACGTGGACCTGCCTGTTTGGCTTGTTTGCATGATCAACGTTCTAGAAGGCCTGGAGACCTTACGAGTACAATACGGAAGCTATTTTAAGCCGTAATTTACTACTGTACTGGAATACTGCCAAGACAGGGGTTCAGGGGCAGAGTAACCGTAATAGGTATAGCGTGTTTCGAAAGAGGGTTCGAGAAAGAACCTCTGAGAGGAAATGGTGAATCTGATTTCGATCCATCCTGTATTCGCATTCCATTACTATCATTGTTGACATGGAAAATACTACAAAAGAATGACAGTCGATAAGAATTCTTCCTCAATTACTAGACTTTGGGAAAAGCTGATCCATCTCCTTGCTTTGACAGACAAGCTCGGGAGCTATCTCCACCGATTCTTGAATCGGACGAGGGTAGCATGACTCCTATTATGGTAAATTCAGCGGTGGAACATCTACACAATATATAGAATAAAGTACCATGTTAGACAAGTCTTTGAGCCACTAATTCTTAGTGGATGAGTCAAAGATATACATCTGCCCAGTTTTGCGGACTCGCACAGCTAAGAAGACATCGGATTCGCACTCAAGGACAAATTCTTTAGCCTTTTTGAATAGGCTTCGCTGACGTCTATTTCGTTGTTGCGTTTTCGCTCGCGCACTCTCCGACTGTCGCTTCTTCACCCATGGGGATTTCTTGGACATGATGTAGTTACCACAGAGACCAGATTGTTTGAAGGATCTCCTATAATTCGAGGTGGCTCAGCCTGTTAAATATCCTAAACCTGGTCACTGAGGGTGACTGCGGTCTCTGTCGAAGCCATACGTGTTCTGCCTCAGGGAGCCCACCGCAGCGAGGCCATCCATCTTGTTGGCCGCACCTACTATAAAAGTGTCTTGATCCAGCGAGCTCTCTGTCACCCGCAGAGGATCAACCTGGAAGACCATGTGAAGGCAGCAACACCCTTCGAGCATGTATCAAGGGATAATATAGCCCCGTGGATCAAGGATTCCTCGGTTTCCAGGGAGGGTGCGGTCCTGACGGATCCATTCCAGGAGACCCACACATGGCACAATGATAACGAGGGGAAGCTTCACGTTGGGGGCCATCAAGGTGGGATACCACCTAGCTGGGCTACCCGTCCCAAGCCTAGGGCCTCTTGTGAGACTCGGAGTCCAGAACCAACTACGAGTATTCTGCCGACGGCTAGTTCACCGGAAACAACCACAAGTACTACCTCTTCAACCTCTCCGATAATGACGTCATTCACAACGAGTTGTTCATCTCCGACAATTTCACCGGCAACAACCATAACAAGTACCACCTCGCCAGCCACGGCGACCACTTCTTCTACTTCACCTACAACAACCACAACCGCTTCAACCACTTCACCAACTACAACTACCACCACCACCGCCTCACCGACCACTACTACCACCACCACCTCACCGACCACTACAACCACTACAACTACAACCACTACAACTACAACCACTACCACTACAACCACTACCACCACTTCACCTACTCCCACTCCAACAATAGATTATGGTACCTGCTCGGACCCGACCATTAAGTATGAGTATGGCCTAGATGGTCGCACCGAGTGGGCCTACACCACCAACAACCAGAAAGACTTCCCATTCGGATCTTCACCTGACATTGCTACTCCGCAAGATCTCATTTGCAACCGTCTCAGGAGCCCTTGCAATGCGCCGCAGGCCACTATTGATCGATGCTATGCCGCGAAGGAGGCAACTGCTGGTCTCACTGGCCAGGAAGCGGCTGACTTATGGAACTCGCTAATGACTTAGGCTAATCTGGGTTTTGCATGCTGGGTACTCGAACCCGATACAGGTTCAATACAGGGCAGTCACAGCTCGGTCATGTGGGCCAACAGCGAAATTGCCGCGCCCTTGGTCGATGCTGAATCTTGTGGTCAATACGAGACTGCAATGCGGGAATTTTTGCCAGCGAACCATAACTTGTTGGGCTGTGAAATGCTCAATTCTCTGCCCTTCCCGTCGAAGACCGGCTAGAGTTTCTGTCCTGGTTGTTTGAGGGTGCTTTATCTCATTGTCTACGCCACTTTATCAAGATGCATCGCAAACCAAGATTCAGACATCACATACGACTGTGACTAGCCAAGCCAAACACTGAACTAGTTGATGCTCAGCCTACTTCTAGTACGAGCAAAGGTTTACGATGGTCCGTGGAAGGAGTATCTTTATTGGTGAAGCTAAGGGAAGCACATAATCGCCGGGAGAAGCAAAGGGTCCATACAGGTGTACTGGAGCACGACGCTCAAGAAACAGCGGCGATATTTGGCGATTGCCACGTGATTTTCTTATGTTGCATTGTACTCTGTTCTTATTGTTGGACATGCTCATTTGAAGGTAACACATCCATGGTGTTTTCGGGCGCGCGGAAAAGGCAAAATGAAACGACCGCCTTCCTTAGGCTTATTATGGCAATTTGGAGCTATGTAGCGCGTGAGTAGTGTACGACGGCAGTTTAATCACGGTACATACCGTCACAATCTGCGTCTGCAGGTTGGTTTGTACACAGGCAAGAGTAGTCAAACCCAATGAAACAAGAAACAACCCTATTGAGCCAATGGACGCCACCCACAAGGCTCGTTGGTGCCTGGCAGCCGTGAGGCGCGGATACTGCCAAAATAATTTGAAAGTACTTGTTTGCATATGCCATGGCCTCATGCATATGACCCAGGCCCTAATTATTTGGGTATGAACGAAGCTGAGACTAGCCAAAGCGACGATCATAAACGAAGAAAATAAAGCGTTGCGGTTCTTCTACGTTTTTGGGTCAATAAAACACACATAGAAGGCAGAGCGACCAGTTGAAGCGCACCGACAGGTAAATAGAAAGTGATAGAATGGCAATTGTTCCCATAAATAGCAAGGCAGATATCATGTGGGCTATCCAGGGTTGCAAAGTAGAAACACATAGATACTAGCAGGGGTTAGTGTCGCTCTCCCTCTATTTCACTATACTCACCTCATTTAGAATGAGCAAAAGAAGTACACTGCCGATTTCCTGCCGTAGTATCGGCAAAGACTGATCTGGTATACGGTTAGAGAGGAAATTGGGTTCAGGGAAGTGAGCAACCTGCCGTCCTTTGGGCTTACTTCCAAAAACGCTAGCAGAATGGAAGCGATTGATCCCAGGAAGACGAAACCACCTATAACAGCTTGACTGAAGATGAGTGGTTCCTTGCTCAGTCTTCGCAAGCTCATAGCCTTGATCGATAGGAGCCAGAAAGCAAGACCTGCTCCGCAGCAAATTGATGCTATTGTCGATGCAGTCAGTTGAAATATCAGCTCGGAATCCATTTTGTGAAGTTCGATAACCTGGTTAAGACGAATGATGTGTCCATGTCGTTGTTTAAATAAGACCAAGCCTTCACGAACACGAATATGCAATATCTGGCTTGAAGAATTCTCCCATATTACTCGGCGTGCACCAGCTATATTGACTGTGCTTTCTCTAACTGACCCGAAGAGCAAGATAAGCCACTAACTTGCGCTTTCCAGTATATTACCCCTCCCTCCCTGCCATCCGCTCAATCTTATCGGTCGGTATGCTACTAAGCAAAAACATGTCGCTATGACGCCCCAGATGGAAAACAATTTGAAGATGTCTGACGTGCGGGTTGGGAGTCGGTTACATGTTTTCAACCCCTCACAATTCCGGGGTTGGGACGTACTGAAATTGTAGCTTTGAGACACTTTCCAGATGGCGAGCTGGCTCTCACCGCTTTTAAGGGTAGATCATTTGAAACGGAACTAATCCATCCATCCCTGGAACTCTTTCCACCTGCAAGCGCAACGGCCTATATCCTTTTTGACCCCATTTTCCTTACCTTCCCGAATTTCTTCCATCGAAATGTCCCCAAATCCGAAACCCGACATATTCACTTACGCCGATTTTGACCTTCAAGCTCTGTGCCGTCAAGCGAGCACGCTGCGGCAGGGTGTTTTATGTGCTTGTGATCCGGATCAACGTCCTGCCTCGGGAAGTTTCAACTGGGCTATCTTTATTTCGTTTGAAGATAGGGTACGATGGGTCTTTAGATCTCCACACCCTAGAACGTTTATGCCAATGGAAATGGGAATAAAGCTACTGGCTAGTGAAGCTGCCACGCTCCGATACCTCAGAGCTCATAGCGATATTCCAGTTCCAGAAGTATACGACTATTGGTAACGAAATCTCCCAGACCGCAATGTTCTAGTCCTAATCTATCACAGTGCTTCATCCGATAATGACATCGGTATTCCGTTTATTCTTATGAGTGAGGCGCCCGGCAGGCCACTATCAAAATTTTGGAGATCAGCCGGTTCTCCTCAACCTGACCTAGAGACTCCCAGCAAAGCCAAAATTCTCTCCCAGCTAGGCGGTATTACCTGGAAGCTTTCTCAGTTGCGATTCGATAAAATAGGCTCACTCTTTGAAGATAAATTCTTCGAAATCAAGGAATGTCTCTCACGTGGTCACATGTTACATGGACGATATTCTTTGGATATCCCACGAGGACCTTTCACTTCCGAGGAAAAGTTCTATGACAGCCTTGTTTCTGCGTTTTTAGAGCATGCAGAAAGTCTGCAGTTGTCACATCATTGCTTTGTGGCACCCGTTCCTTCGCGGGACGACTATCAATCCAGCATACAATATGAGAGCGCTGTGAACCTATGGAACGACTTTGTGACCGTTGGAGGCAAGACCGACTCGTCGGACAACAGGATGGATTATATCATCGCAGGCGACGCTCTCCGCGACATTGTACGGAAACTTGAACTCCCAACTGTCAATTCGGAGACCTTTCCGTTATGCCACCCTGATCTGAGTGTCAATAACATATATGTTGATGATGATTATAACATCACCTGTATCATCGACTGGGCATTCGCTTCATCCATTCCTGAATCGATGCTTTTAACCACACCAGGATTGCCACAATACCGCGACGAAATTAGTTCGGAGTTTTATATACCTTTTATAGATGGCTTCATCTCTGCTATGCCTGAATCGATGGAAGAGAGATCGACTCACAGATATCACGATTCCCTGGAACGGAGCCAAGTCTCCTGGAGATTGAGCCGGCTCCTCAACCTGGACTCGATTAGTGATTACACTCTCTTTGCTACAGTCTGGCACTTTGCTCATGGGCCTGAACAGGACCTAGGCCATTACTTCTTACGACAGTGGAGTTCGCCTCACTACATCCGGCTGTATAACGAAGTTCGACAGGAGGATCAGCCACTTTCGAAAATTCAAAAGGATGAAGTAGATTATTTTCGAAACAAGGATATCAGAGAGGCAATAGCTAAGAAGCTAACCCTCATGTCCGAATGGAAAACACGGTTTACTGTCAATCACCCGCCGAGACTTCGGAAAGACATGTTTGTCGCTTCTCCCAAGTTATGGAAATGGATTCAACAATTTGTGCAGGACTGGGAAGACATGTCTTGACGAGTCTACACCAGGCATCAACATCACATCAACATCTCAAGCGAATGCGCTCAACTGGGACCTCCCACAGATCACCGGTCTCATCATCTTTCACCTTCTCAAAATTAGATTGCACATCAAACATTGTTTTGGGGAATATACCGTTTGCAATATGGTGCTTGATGTACTTGAATCAATTGTGCCTTCGCGCCATTCAGTCTCTGTGATAGCTTAGTTGATGTCTCACTTTAGACCCAAGATATCCAAGTGACATACTACCCTCACGACAGTACCAGACTGCGGCACCAGCGGTGTAGTATGCTCTCTTTTCAGCGCCAGTTGGTGGAGTTGGAAGATCTGGTGGGGTCGATGGCTGGGGACGTCTCTTAGGCATGGTTTTCAATGTAATATTCTTTTCGATGTTGGTGGGCTTTAATTACGACAAGGTTCTAGCTCCCAGGAGCAAGGCGCTACATTTTATACTCTCGGTTTTTCGCACTGGCCTCTCACAACATTTCTTCCATAAAATATGGGCGCTTAACGCCGAGGCCACCCATCAGGTAGTGGCGGCGCTCGAGACAATTGACACCATAACAAGATATGGCAGTGGCCAGGAATATTTTGGGTCTCCCTCCATGATTCATAATTATCAACCTGAAACGTACGAATGTCGCTTTCGGGTGAATAACCGGGTGTTATTGGCGCTTCGATTAGATCCTCCCCCCACTTGCGTCCAGGCTTTCCACGAAAGCATTGGCTAGTTTGACAGGTCTTTTTTCGGTATTTTACAAGCAGACCCACCCCCGCTTTATCAAAAACTGCTACAAGAGATAATGCCACAGTATTGTAAGGCTTTTTATGGTTTTTAGGGCTGCCAAGCAACAGGAAAGATAGAATTAATTACGATGTGCGGCTGTTGTAAGTGTTAATTAATAAGTATGCCATATGCGGGTCCATAGTTGTTAAATTGCGGTGATCTTTTCCTGCAAACTATATGCGCGCACTTTTGTTTATTCCGATGACCCGGGCGTTGGATTGGCCTTGCTCTCTCGTATGTTTCTGGAGTTCAGAGCAACACTAGTCCAAAACAGGAATACCTGCCTATGTTCTTCAACATCCAATACTCTGACCGAAAGAAACTTGGACAATAATGCAGTGCAGTGACGTGGCGCCTAAGCGGGCGGGGCTCCGGCCAAATACAAGCATGGGATGTCCCGGATTATGCATGGCTTGCTGGGAGTATTGGATCAAGAGTACTCTTTACCCTATGTAGTTACCCCGCTCATTAGGAACGCATGTATCAACTTGACACGTCGATCAATTATTGGTCGGCCTCGTGTTCGAAGCGACGAGGCTGACACGGTCAAGTGACGGCAACTGAGTTTGAGCCAATGAGCGCTGCAGCTGGATAAGGCAAGATACTATTTTAATTTTCCTCAGCTTATTGTACATAGTTATCCTACAAGACGTGAATAAATTTGGCTTAACCCTACCCACATTCACATGTGAACGTACTCTGTATCAGCAACATAAGACGGTAACTTTCCCCTTTATCATGCCAACTAGAAATTTCTAGCTTTTACATATCACTTCAGCAGACCATCGTCCTTCCGATATGGACATCGAGTCCTCGTCTCAGAACTCCAATGAGGAAACGCTTGATGATCAAACCTCAATACACTCGATTGAGACCTCCTCAACAAAGTTAACCATAATCAAAGATTCGATCGAGATATTCGAGGAACAACTCAAAAACAACTGGACTCGTCAAAAAATCCCCAAAGGCATGAAGAAAAAATTTCAACAAACACGCGTCGCTCAAAAAACAGCAACATCACGAATCTTCTTCGACAATGGAGGATTTAAAGCTTGGTTTACATATTTTCTTGCGACGGAGGGAAAAGCCCACTTCAAAGGGCGACGTAATAGATCTGACACCATTGCTGCATTCCAGCAACTCCCGTTGGCAGATCAAGCAAATGTCGCGAGAAAAGTGGCCAGCAAACGGCCGCATCCCAGCGTCAGCAATGCCATTCGCAACATATCCGAGAACTTTGAAGATGCTGGTATGTCTCAGATCTTACTACTCTTACCTTTCTTTATAATAAGACGGCTAGGGGTTTTGGAGGCTCGATTGAATGAAGTTCGGCAACATTCCTCGCCCGCCGAAAGCTTGATAGGTGCCATTGTGTCCTCTCGGAATGTGATGTCAGGCATCGCTGAGAGATCACTGGAATCTGGAACTTCACAACATCTGGTGCTCGAAGAAGCGTCATTACTAGGGGTCGCCGAGGTTTTCGACCAGTACGTCTACTTTGGTACCAGTTCCCCATAAGACCTTGTTCGTCCTTAACTAACAATGGACCAGGAAAACGCCTTTGAGGAGCTCCGGGGGGCGGTTAGCCATAAAATGCAACGGCTACAAGAGAAAAATCGCATCCTTCGAGATGAACTTTGCCAGGAGAGGGAGAGGCACCAAAAGACGGAAGAGGAACTTTCCCAGCAAAGAGAAAAGCATATTTTAGAGTGCAGGATCTGCTATATGCAGCCAGATCGCTGGGTGCTCATTCTATGCGGGCACATGGTCTGCAGGTCATGCGCAGGAAGTCTTGGATCAATGGAGAAGTGTCCTATCTGCCGGGCACCAATCACGGGGTATATCGAATGCCTCCCTTTTGCAGGGTAAAGCATTTATATACCGTGTTGCAGGTCTAGTTCAATGGCTCGAGAGTAATGAAAGTCTATAATCAACGCACACCCAAGCTTGACGTCAAGTGATATCACCATTGTCATTGACTGGGCGTATATCTTTTACGGACTCAACTACCAACCATTGTGACCGTTTTATCTCCACCCCAGTAGACGATGAACAAATGCACTTGAGATATAGATCAAAATACCTGTGACCCATATAGACCGTAGTCAGAAGACCGAAGGCCCTTGCGGTTACTAAGCTAGGGTGGTCGCCAGTTGACAGTTTGAAAGCCTACCTAGACTCGGAGCTGTGGACGTACGTCTAATGTGGGTCTGCATCCATAGCCGTCGGTACTTGGCCTGGAGTCAACTGTCCTGGATCACGGGGCTTAGAACTAAAGGCCTTACGGCCGCAGCTCCTCAACCACGGACCCACATCTCCAGGCCTAGGACCTGTTTGGACATGATTCCACAGATTTATTACAAAGTCGGCTTCGTATCACTCGATATGTGTCTAGCTTGGACAGCGAACCATACAGGCCAGGAGACGCTGTTTCTGGATCTTTAGGGGCCTCAAAGCACCCCAAGGCAGGGTTACCAAAACACGGGTATCCAAGAATACAGTATCAGAGAAATCCAAGAAGAGGACCGGTTGCCGCGCCGGATGATTCGAAATTTTGCGTCGTGATTGAATCTCATCCCCTCGGTCCATCATCTTCATGTCCAAAATTAAATCAGTACAGAAGTCTAATCCATGTGGTTTGTGGTGTTGCGGCTGAGAACAGCATGTTTAGTCATCTCATTGGAAGCCAACCAACGACCCGAAGTGGAGCCTTACCTATTAAGGCCGCAGAGCCCGCTTGTATATCCTTTTTAACCCCCCTAAAAGATTTTGACACCTGATATTACTCCTTTAGGGTCCATGCTCGAGAAACACTGCAGTGTAGGCGGTGACACCGTTCCCAGAAGTACATTATACAGAGATGAGTAAAAGAAAGTGCAGTCGGATTGATTATGACCCATCAATCAAAAGGTCGAGATAACTAAGATGAAATTCTGTTCCGGTAGCTCTAAATAATCGCGACAAATCTGGTACGCCTTAATGAAATATTCACCAACCCAACCACGGCGCCAATTGTGGCCAGATAACAAAGGAATGGCGCAGGGGTCTCCAAGATGGAAAAAGTAGAATCTGACGCTCATGTTCGAAGACCATGAGCGTCAGAAGCATGCCGCCGCAAGTGCATCTCGTGCAGGACGGACAAATCGCAAAAATTACATTTTCGGTCCGTCAGATGTGATGTCCTGAAATGCCTTTTCACTCCATTATAGTCGGAGTATGTCTTGGGGCATTGGAAGCATGCGAATGTTTGCTCTGCATTCGGGATATATTTCCCGCCAGAGGTACATCCCCTCTCCCACGACGTGTTCAGCTGCGTATCAGCTCTTATCTTTCGAGCTGGCGGAGAGGGAACGACATCCTCATTGTCGGACGGGGCAGAGCGCTTCCGTCGTCCCCTAAGGGGCCCACCCTCCTGAAAGCTGCAATATTGTATCCCAGCCGCAACAGCTTTGTTGCGCCGCGTCCACTCGTCTTCTAATGAATCGGTGGTGGGCCAAGTAAAGAACGTCTCCACGAGAAGAATCTGCTCCGATGGCATTTCAAACTCCTTCCGTAATACCTCGCGCGCAGGCTCATCACTGACAGCCCCACCAGTCAGCTGTCTTTCAATGTCAATCACCGCCTGTTTCCGACTGAAATCGCGGCGTGTTTCTTTCCGCCGTTTGTCTTGCAGACGCCGGCGCAGATTGTGGACTTGACGCTTCTGGTCCTCCAGCATCGCCCGCAATGCTGGGTTGTGAGAGCGATCAGCGCACTGGGTCTCTAAATCAACTTGCCAGCGTATGGCTGATTGCAGTTCTGGGTCTTTCTCCACTGATTCCCGATCAGCGTCGCTCAGGTATCGTGGTCGTCGCCGATCAATCCAACGGCTCATCCGGGTCACAGCCTTCGAGAACTCTTCGTCTGGCTTGAGGCCGCACATGATCTCTTGTAAGCCAGTATGCCGACGAGGACGATAATGTTTGATAAACGTTCTGCTAGTGGCGTGGGCCATGATCACATTACGCTGTGCTTCACTGACAAAACCTAGGCAGAAGAGTTAGCCCGCTCATCTAGAGAAAATCAGAACCTTAGGTATTTATAGTCCACCCACCACTCTTGTCAAGTAAATCACCTCCTCCGTATCGAAATTGGTGAGAGAAGAAATGATTAAGGAAGCCGTGTATCTCACTGGATGTCCTGAGTTGTGCGTCGAGTGTGCTACCATTCATAGGCGTCTCCCACAAAATCCGGGGTTGGCCACAGATCACCTCAACCTTCGGGAAGACATAGTAATTATCCATCTCTTTCTTCAAGGGAAGTAGCATTTCCTGTCGACCACCCTCGACAAGCAGTCTCCGAAGGTCTTCCATCGGAAAAATTCGAATTGCTCTGTAGGGATGATGTTGCCAGCCATTAGTAAGCCTACAGATCTAGCTCAACTGTTGGAAATCTGGCTGTATCAAATGTAATGGTATTTCACCCAGTATTGGAATTCTCTAACTAATAAAACATGCGATCTGTGCGCAGATATCTAGACTAACTATGCACCGGGCCTGAGATAATCCGGGTAATTTACCTAGTATCGAGGCCGGTATTCAATCTTAGTATTTGACATCAACTAATGGACATGTCTGTATGCTATTCCAAACGAGCGATATCGAGATGTAGCAGTGCGAAGAAGCAATGGAGATCAAATAATTGCATGTTTCGGCTCATATTGAAGGAATAAGAATAATGTCGTCGCTATTGGTATCTGGAGGAGTTACTGTTGGGAAGATACCGACACTGATGACCACTAACACCATATGAAGGCAATATATTCCTGAGGGCGCCAAAGAACGTCACTGCACATGGATTGGTTTAATATCAGCAGTTAGGTATTCAAATATAGATCTATACAAGCAATTTTGTATGGTGGCTATAGGGAGTGAACGTTGGAAGCCGGTCGAATGCAAGTAACTGAGGGACTGCTACCTTGCAAACCCAGTATTACTGCCACGGTAACCTTGGTCTAGCCATGCTCCACCATGGGCCGAGTGAGCAAATTTGTAGTATAAAGAGAGACCGGTTCCCAACAGCGGAATGAACGTGTTTGCCAACACGATCAGTCATGGAGAGCCCCAGCAAAACACCAGAAGTCACAGGTACACAGGAAGAGGCACCGCTCTACACACAGCCAAGTCCAACCGAGGAGCCCCCACTTCCCGGTGTTGCAACCCCGCTGCCGGTAAGAATAGAACATGAATAGACCTGACCACGCTGACCAGCCAGATCCAAAATCACGACATAGAGAGGCAGACTTTGGCTGTAGAGCCCTTCCGACCCATACTTGAGGTCTTGAAGCAAATTGAAGAAGAAGATACTCAACTTGCATTTCGT